TTGGCACTGGCGGCACCCCCCGCATGACCCTCTGGGAAGCCAGGCTCTGCCAGTCTGGAGTTCTCTGGAGCAAAGCTGTCTGTGTTTAACCTTCCCAGGAAGACTTTCAGATGAAGTTCATGTATACCAGGAAAGCAGAGCGTACAATTTGCTCCCGTTTGACATAATCATAGGCTGTCCCGGTGCCTGGAACAATTTAATGAATACCTTAGGATGGCATTTGCTGTCATATCATAATGCCGCCTTTCACAAAAGCTCTTGCCACTGTCACCGTCACCGTGTTTGACGCTGTGACAACGTGAAGAACCCCCCCGAGCTCCAGGTAGCGATGCACTGATATGATAAATGTATTTATTCAACCTGCATCCACCTGCAATAACTATGCAGAGGCAATATCCCCTCTGCTGCCCATTCTTTGGCCACATTTTTAGGACGCAAGGTTGGGGAAAGGTATTTCATGACCCCCAACGCACCAAAGGCACACTGCGAGCCTCTTTAGTCATGTTTACGCAGCGCTGAAGCTCTGGCGACGCCATCGCAGACCTCTGATAAACCACAGGGCTTTCACAAGAGGGTTGCAGCACAGCCTTGAGAAAAAGGAAGAGAACGAGTTGAGCCAGAGAGGGACAGGAAAGCTCGCGCTGTTGTCAAACCCAGGCTGCCCCCAACAGCACTTTTATTTCCCTCAGCGGTCTGAGAACCCAGCGTTCGGGTTTTCAGTGAAGCCTGTGCTGCTGGGGAGCTCTTTGAACGTCTCGAGGTGATGGGCCAAGACCTCAGAGATCTGCTGAAAGGAAGAGCTCAGAAAACGCATTTGCATGAGACTTGAAGAAGGGTGCCCAGGGGGCTGATGGCATAACCGCTATCCCTGACACCCAGCCATCCCCCTGTCGTGACATGTCCTAAAAAAACACCGATCCTTGGTTCTTTGCGTGGAGAAACCCGCGGCATGCCCCTCAGGCTGGTAGGAGGAGGGGGTCGGTGGTGAGAGCCGGCAGTACGTTGCAGGGGGTGCTGTGCAGGGCTGTCTGTGCGGCCGGGCTGGGGAACCCCCTGGCACTGAGACACCCTCGAGCAGCCACCGTTGTGCCTCCGGGATGGGCTGCTGCCCTCCCCACCTCTGCCTCCGCAACAGCCCTGCTCACAGCATCGCTCAGGCACTCCATAGTCTTTAAGGAACACCAGAGGCCCATGCTGGGTAGAGATGGAAACCAAACCTTGGGGTGGACAAGCCCTGTTTGCAGACTCCGCCTTTTCTCCCCGCTGTGTGCTTGCAGCTAGGGTTTTCCCTGCTTGGGTAAACCTCCAGCCTCGCTAGGTTCAATCACTCCAT